TAAGAAAATGGCAAATGGTAGAGCTAACGGACCTGATTGTATATCTATCGAAGCGTGGAAATGTTTAGGTGAAGAAGGGGTGAGATGGTTAACTAAGTTATTTAATGTGATTTTACGGTCCAAGAAAATGCCTGATGAGTGGAGGAGAAGTACATTAATTCCTATTTATAAAAATAAAGGAGATATTCAGAATTGTACTAACTATAGAGGGATTAAACTCATGAGCCACACAATGAAATTGTGGGAGAAAGTAATTGAGCATAGGTTGAGATTGGAGACAAGTATTTCTGAGAATCAATTGGTTTTATGCCAGGTAGATCAACTACAGAGGCGATTTATCTACTAAGGGGGATTAATGGAAAAGTATCGTTGTAAAGATAAAGATCTACACATGGTTTTTATTGATTTGGAAAAAGCTTATGACCGTATACCAAGAGAAGTGCTTTGGAAAGCGTTGGAAAAAAAGGGAGTACGGATTGCTTATATTAAAGCCATACAAGATATGTATGAGGGGGTTAAAAACTAGTATAAGAACGCCTAGTGGTCAAACAAAGGATTTTCCTATAAAGATTGGGCTACATCAGGGATCATCTCTGAGTCCTTATTTGTTCAACTTGATTTTAAATGTTTTGACGGAACATATTCAAGAGGAAATCCCGAAATGTATGCTCTTCGCGGATGATATAGTTCTTATAGCAGAGACAAGAGAAGAGGTTAATTGCAAACTTGAGTTATGGAGGAGGACATTGGAGTCGAAAGGTTTTCGTCTGAGTAGAAGTAAGACGGAATATTTATATTGTAAATTTGATAAAGGACTATTCGAAAATAATTTGGAAGTAAAATTGGGAGATCAAATTATACCTCAAGTGGAAAAGTTTAGATATTTGGGAGCCATTATCCAAAATGATGGCGAAATCAGTGGAGATATTTCACATAGAATTCAAGCTGGGTGGTTTAATTGGAGAAAAGCTAAAGGAGTTATTTGTGACCGTAAGGTGCCTAATAAACTTAAAGGAAAGTTTTATCGTACTGCTATCAGACCGGCAATGTTATATAGTAGTGAATGCTGGGCTCTAACGGGACAGCAAGAGCATAAAGTTGGAGTAGCAGAGATGAGAATGTTACGATGGATGTGCGGACATACACGTAAAGATAAAATTCGAAATGAGCACATACGTGAAAAAGTGAGGGTGGCACCTATTGAGGAAAAAATGGTAGAAAAATCGGTTGAGATGGTTTGGGCATGTACAAAGAAGACCAAGGGAGGCACCAGTGAGAAGAGTGGAACATATAACTTTGAGTCCGATTAAGAGAGGTAGAGGAAGGCCTAAGAGAACACTCTTGGAAGTTGTTGAACGTGATCTCTTAATTAATAATATTTCTAAAAGCTTAATAAATGATAGAGCACAATGGCGTCTTGCAATCCATGTAGCCGACCCCACCTAGTGGGATAAAGGCTTGTTGTTGTTGTTGTTGTTGTTTAATATGATTTATTTGGGATTTGGTTTTCATTCTCGTTCTCTATTTGAAGGAATTGCTTTATTACCAATTAAGATTGATAAATGATTCTTAGACAAAGGATTGCCTTGATACAAATACAAATTTTTGCCTGGCTGGCGATCTCACTTCTCAGAAACTTGGGTCTAGAATATGGCGATGCTCCATTGGTCTGCCCATGTGAACATGTGAACAAAGGAATCGGAGACTGGATGGTTATTTTAACTGAAATTTTCTGAATCGTTCCCTCTTGTAGTGCACGGGCACTTGTATGTTCTCACTTGCCAATGTGCCTGCCTCTCTGCTGGCTAGAACTTCAACTAAGGTTACTTTGATATTAGGCCCTCGTGTTTCTTGCATCTCTACAATTTCTGACAGATTTCAAGGTTTATGGAATGTTATGTGTTAAGAGATCTAATACAAAGATACAGAGAACAATTCTCATGCAAGATAACATTACGCAAGTAAATTGAGCTTCAAAGTCCAGTGTTTCACATGAACATATTGTATACAGCGTTCAAATACAAATATTTCGAGTTAACATTCCTTCCATGCCGGCACTGAAAAATGTTTGAATTGATTAAATGTTAATGATAAGAGACTTCGGGTATCATGTCTATTTAGTCTATTTGGAGCATTCTCGTGATTTGTAATATTCATTGGTGAATTGCAGAAAGTGTTGGATGTGACAAGTATATGGCAGCTGTAGAAGTTGGAGGAGGCCCATGGTTCAACAAATGGAAGGGCCAGACTTCAACTCCAGATATCGTAAGGCGCGGCCTTGCATGCCCGTGGACATTGATGGCATTTTCGGTCTGGTTCCTTTTTCAAACCACCAGGCCTATAGCCAGCCAAAGTTTGTTGAGGTCTTCTAGACTTTCCCCTGTTGCATGGGGTTCTCCATAGGGAAGTGAAAGAATTGACTTCACTGCTTAATATTTTATAATGACATTAAGATTCGGACCTAGCCTATTGGTTGGATGTGGAATCTAGTAAACTCATCACTTGTTCGATCTGATCCAGAGCAGTGGTGGAGCCACGATATATATATATCTATTTTTTTTTTTTTTTGGGGGGATGCACCCCCTTGTATGGGTAAAATTACATATGTAAAATGAAAAATTTACAACCTTGCACTTTTATTTTTATTTTGTATTTTGAGCCCTTAAACTCAAAAAAGAAATATTTGGGTTCAACTTTAAACTTTATATCAAACTTCTCAACATATTTTTGCCCAAAAGAAAAGGCTTTCATATATATTTTCCAGATAAAAATATGTATAATTTTATTTATGCTATTATATTTTTTGTCCTAAGTAATTATTTAAAAAATATAATATTTTTAAATTATATTGTCCTGCACCTCCTGATACAGGATTCTGGCTCTGTCGTTGATCTAGAGAATGGACTGAACCAACCAAAAAGCAGTGGTCAAAACTGAAAAATCTGGATCTATTAATTCAACCCATTAATTATTTTTTTAGTTTAAATTAGGTTTCTAAGTTACTCCATTCGATCTTCCTCGTAAGACACCCTTAGAAGAGATGAATGATTTTTTATTTTAAGTCATTTGATGGAATATTCTTTCATCAAAAAATATAAGATATTTTTGAGGGGTTATATGTTTAAAAATATAAAGTATTTTTAGTTTTTTAAAATATTCCCTCCATTGAAAAATGTAAGGCATTTTTTAAAGAGTTGGATGTTTAAAATGTAAGGTATTTTAATCTTTCATGGTGTAATTATTATCTTTTTTTCAAAAGTGTTTCTATTAATAATAACTCTATATTTATTGTAAGGTGTTTAATAGGGGTAAAGATGAAAAGATAAGATTAGTTGAAAAGTAAGTAACTATTTTATTAGAGGTGAGATTTGATTACAAATACCTTATATTTTTACAAAGGGAGTATAATTATTGCTTTTTTTAAGTGTCCATATTGAATAAATTACTTTATATTTATTTTAGGGTGAAATATCATATTAAATAAGGATAAATATGAAAAATGAGGTTAGTTTTAAGAGAAGTAATACTTTATTGGGTGACATTTGTGGGTGACATTCGGTAAAAATGTATTATAATTTTTGAACAAATGGAATATTATTAAGTTTTTTTCAATATTAAACTTTTATTTAAACTTATTAACCATGAGAGAGAATATGATGCAA